GAGAAGAACCTGAAGACCTAAAGGTTAGAAAGGGGGCTGGAGAGATGGTTCAGCGGTTAAGAGCGCTGGCTGTTCTTCCAGAGGTCCTGAGTTCAGTTTCCAGCACCTACATGGCAGCTCACAACTGTCTGTAACTCCAGTTCCAGGGGATCCTCTGGGATCCCCACACAGACATACATTCAGACGAGATACCAATGCACATAAAATAAAAATGAATCTCAAAAAATTAAAATAAATTGAAAAATAAATAAATATAAAGGTTGGAAAGGAAGACATAAAATACTTCCAATTTGCCAATGGTGATTAGTTATGTTGAAAACCCTAACGAATATCATGAACCACTAAAGTTAAGTTACTGTAGTAAGATTTCAATAAACAGAGTCATTACGAAAATTGGATATGTATTTTAAGATTGTTTTACATTTTACAATTTGTGTGTGTGTGTGTGTGTGTGTGTGTGTGTGTGTGTGTGTGTGTGTGTGTCACAGCCTACATATGGAGGTCAGAAGAAGAATTTCAGAAGCAGATTTTCTCCTTCCAGCATGTGGACTCCAGAGATCAACTTCAGGGACTGACAGACTACCTACTGAGCCACCTTGTCAATCCCTAATTATATCACTAAAAATAAATGCAGAGAGAGCACACAGGACTTGACCAGATACTTTATACAGAAAAATGTGTAGGTAAATACATGAAAAGACATACTATTGTTAGCTCTTCAGGGAAATAGAAATTCAGATCAGAAATACTAATATGCATCTCTCAAGATGGCTCTCATTTAAAATTCTGATGATGGGGCTGGAGAGATGGCTCAGCAGTTAGAGCACTTGTTGTTCTTGTGGGGGAAGAAGCCAGTTTCCATTCTCAGTCCTCACATCTGTTCCAGGGGATCTGAAGCCCTCTTCTGATCCATCCTGGCACCAAGCAGGGAAAACACTAACATGAATAAATCTAACAAAAAAAAAATTTAAATGGTAACTTGTGGGTTGTCTCAGTTAAAAAACAATCCTGATGATATGCTCGATGTGATGCTGCAAGCATGTAATCCAACGCTAAGGAAACTGAGGCAGGAGACTCCAGTTTGAAACCAGCTTGGACTACATTGTGAGACCCTGTCTCAAAAAGCAAAACCAACCAAAATTCCAACGATATCAAATATGGGCGAGGAGGCAGGGCCACAAGAAGAATGCATATTTTGCTGGTGGCACAACCACTTTTGAACAAGTTCTGGCAGTTTCTATTAAAACTAAACATATACCTACTCCATGACCCAGTAATTCAACACCTGGATATTTACTCAAGAGATATGAAAGCATATGGCCACTGAAAGGCTTTTTACAAGGATCATCATACCACAGTCTACTCCTGAGAAAAGCAAACACATCCCAGCTGAGGGACAGTCTCTAAAATACCTGCCTGTCTCTCAAAACCATCAAGGTCACCCAAACAAACAAAGTCTGAGACACTAACCAACCAGGAAGAGCCTCAGGAGACATGGTAACTAAAGTAATGCAGGCACTGGATGGAGAGGCAGGAACTCTGAATACTTACTATAATGACTAGATGTCTGTACATGACTTGTAACAGATGTCCCACACTGACAGTAAGATGTTAATTAAGAGAAGAGGTTCAGTATGAAGTGTGTGGGAGCCCTCTGAACTCATCTTCACAATTTTCCTATCAACTTAAAACTATCTTAAAAGTTAAGTTTATTATTTAAAATGTTTAAAGATCGATTTTATACTCTATTATGTGTATGAGTGTTTTGCCTGCATATATGTGTTTGCACCACACATGTACCTATTGCCCTCAGAGTTCAGAAGAGGGCATCATATTCCATGGCAGTTGTCAGCTGCCATGTGGGTGCTGGGATCTGAACCCAGGTCCTCTGCAAGAGCACTGAGTGCTCTTAACTGCTGAGCCATCTCTGCAGCCTCAAGTTTACTCTTTACAAAAAATAGGGTAGTGGTTTCGTTTAAAATAATCAATACTAGGGGCTGGAGGGATGGCTCAGTGGTTAAGAGCACTGCCTGCTCTTCCAGAGGTCCTGCGTTCAACTCCCAGCACCCACATGGTGGCTCACAACCATCCCTAGTGGGATCTGGTGCCCTCTTCTGGTATAAAGTTGTACATGCAGATAAAGCACTCATATACATAAATAAATAATAAAAATCTTTAAAAAAAAAAAAAATCAATACTAGAAATATCTGGGCATGATGGTACACACCCTTAATCCCAGGAGGCAGAAGCAGATGGCTCTCTATGAGGTCAAGGTTAGCCTGGTCTATGTAGTGAGTTCCAAGCCAGCCAAGACTACATAATAAGGCTCAAAAAACAAAAACAAAACAAAACAAAAACCCAACAACAACAAAACTCGAAACAGTTTAAATGTTTCTCAAGAGAGGAGCAGATGAGTGGTGGGCTCATAGAGTGGGATACTACCTCATTTCAAAAATGAACTATTGAGAGGCACCACTGAATGCATGGGTCCCAAAACATGTTAAAAGAAGCCGTAGACAAACGCATTTGTATCATATGTCCGTAAGATTTTATTTTCACACAGTTCTAGAATAAGCTAAGCCAGCGACAGTGGAAACGTGTCTGGAGAGTGAGTGAGGACTGACTAGGAGGAGGCTCCTGGGGAAACCCTCCTGGGATGATGGAAACACTGTCTTTGATTCCTCTTTGTCACCCTTCTCTCCTCCCCTCTCCTCCTCCCCTCCCTTTTCCCCCTCCCCCCTCCTCCCTTCTCCCTTCCCATCCCTTCCTCATAGAATCTCCTATGTAGCCCAGGCTGGCCTCTAACCACAGACCTCAGATTCCTGAGTCCTGGGATTTATAGACATGAACACCTACATCTGGATATTGATGGGAATTTGCATTACACAGGGATATGCACTTTTGAAAAGTCATTAAATGACATTTAAAATATACTCAATTCCCTACATATAAATTTTACCTTAGAATCTTACAAAAACATAGAATTTTAGTGTTGTTTATGATGTTATAGGGATGAAATACACTGATACCTCTAACTTTTTTGGAGATTTATCTGAATTGATGAATGAATAGAGGGACAAATGGGGAATAGTGTGTGATGAAATAAAAACAGTATCTAGTCGCAAGGAGTCTTTCTCTGTCCTGCCAGCTCCCAAATAATGACATGGAGGCATCTTATTAGTTATGAAAGCTCAGCCTTAGCTTAGGTTGGTTTCCACCTAGCTCTTATAACTTAAATTAACCCATGTCTATTAATCTATGCGCTGTCACGTGGCTTGTGGCCTTTTCTTCTCCTCCTGCGTGCCCTGCTTCCTCTCCACCTCCTCTAGCGTCCTCTTCCTCTCTCTCTGCCAGGAAGTCCCGCCTAACCTCTTCCTGTCCACCTATTGGCCATTCAGCTCTTTATTAAACCAACCAGAAGGCACCTTGGCAAAGACACATCTTCACAGTGTACAAAAAGATTATCCCACAACGTCTAACATCACAAAACTGTAGAATCCAGCTGGCGATCAATGAGTGCTCACTGTGTGAGCTTATTGTGGTGTCTGCCTACTCTCCCTTCCTTCTCTCTTCCCTCTCCATCCCCCCATTTTCTGTTATAAACTTTTTATTTTTATTTTATTTTATTTTTTTTTTTGGTTTTCGAGACAGGGTTTCTCTGTGTAGCTTTGCGCCTTTCCTGGAGCTCACTTGGTAGCCCAGGCTGGCCTCGAACTCACAGAGATCTGCCTGGCTCTGCCTCCCGAGTGCTGGGAAAACTTTTTATTTTTAACCATGTATATGTGTGTGTCTATGTGTGGGAATATACAAGTGAGCTCTGATACCCTCAAAGGCCAGAAGAGGGTGTTGAATGCCCTGGAGTTGGAGTTACAGGTAGTTGTAAGCCACCTGATGTGGGTCCTGGGAACTGAACTCAGATCCTCGGCAAGAGGAGTGTGTGCCATTAACCACTGAGCCATTTCTCTAGTCCCATGGTTAGTTCTGTAGCCCTTTCCAGACTAGAACTCACAATATAAGCCATGCTGGGCTCAAACTCCCAGCATTCCGCTGCATCAGCCTCCTAAGTGCTGAGGTTACCACAGCTCACTGCAGCCCAGGCTGGCCTTGAACTCACAGAGATCCGCCTGGGTCTGCCTCTCCAGTGCTGGGATTAAAGGCGTGCACCACTGCCACCTGGCTCTGGGTTCATTTTATATTTGAAAATATTCTGAATAAAATGTTTGGAGGAAATTGGCCATGAGGGCATAGATTTATAATCTAGCTACTCAGGACTCTGAGGCAAGAGAATATTGACTTTGGGGCCAGCCTGAGCAACATAACTCTCCCCCTCTACCTCCCTCTCCCCCCCCCTCCCAGATCCCCTCCTGTCTCCTTCAGAGAGGTCATACAGATTGCATAGATTCTAGTGTGGATCACTGGGGTTTGGTTAACCTTTTTCAATGGACTGGTTTTGATAAAACAAAACAAAACAAAACAAAAAAACAAAAAAAAACCATCATGAGTAGTATAGCTTGGGTGTGAAGAATATTGCTTCATTCTATAGCAGCGATAAGCAAAATTATGGAAAACAGTAAAGGCTATCTAAAATTCTTTCTGTAATAACCCACTTTTAGATTTTCTTTAACTTAACTTTTTGAATAGGGTCTCACCATGTAGCTGTGGCTGGTCTGTAGCCCAGGCTGGCCTCAAACTCACAGAGATCCACCTGCCTCTGCCCCGAGTGCTGGGGTTGAAGGCGTGCGCCACCATGCCCCGCATGACCCACTTTTTCTCATTCTTCTTAGTATAAGTGGGTCTCGGACGAACGTTCTTAGATGCTGCCTGGATAATTCCTTCCGTTCTCCTTACTGCACCATTAGGGGGAGCTTGGAGAAAGCTCTGCCCTGAAAGAGGAATTCTGCGGCTAGGCTTTACAGAGTGGCGTCCTCACTCAATTCAAAACGCTCAATCCCGTCGAAAGGTGTCCTGCGTAGCTAATACCTATACCCCTTTCTTTTTAGATATACAACCAAATACGGAGCTGAAAGGCGCCGAGGAGCAGCCTCTGCCCACAGGTAATGCCAGGTCTTTGCCGTAGAAGCACACTTTTAACCGAAAGCGCCAGAGAAAGAGCAGTGCTCTTATTCTGGTTACAGTAAAAATGCAGTGGGAAATGAATACAGTTCCTTTTGCTGATAAAATACCTCCTCCACTAACATCATAAAAACAGTTCCTTTTGCTGATAAAATACCTCCTCCACTAACATCATAAAAATGTGCTGGGGGTAGGAGACAGTTGTGTGAGATAGCTCACAAGGGCCTAAATTTGGACTCCCAACATTGTATAAAAGCCAGGGGTGTCAGCATGTGCCTGTAATGCCAGCACTGAGGGACAGAGATAGGTGGACCCCAGCGAGCTCTAGGCTCAGAGATCCTGTCTCAAAAAGTAAAGTGGAGACAATAAAAGAAGGCCTCCATATGCTTAGGCACACACACTCACACACACACACTCACACACACACCACACATACACACCACACACTCACACACATACACAGTCACACACACACACACACACCACACACACACTCACACATACTCACACACACACACCACACACATACACACACTCACACACACACCACACACACATACACACACACACACTCACACACGCTTTAGCACTAGAGTCAAACTACATTCCAACTAATGTTGATCATTGGACTTTTGTTCACTTAATTGAATTTTTTTGAACTAAGTAATTCTGGTAAAGACAATAGCTTAAATTTGAATAGTTTAAGCTTCACTTTAGACCAGTGGCCAGCAACCATTTCTGGAAAGGACCAGAAATTCATCATACAATCCCTTCCCTGGATCCTTTGTTGTTGCTGTTTTTAATAACCCTTGAAAATGTTGCAACCATCCTTCCCCTGGACCCGTACGAAGCAGGTATGATCAGGCCAGAGTTTGCTGACCCCTACTCTAGCTTAGTCAGGAGGGTCTTGATTGAATTCAGGTCAGCACAGACTATATAGTGAGCTTGAAGCTAGCCTGGGAGATCCTGTTTTTAAACCACCAAGAAATGAAATGAATGAACAAAGGAACTTGAGTTCCATTATGTTTTGCATAGAATTACACTTACGATATAAACAGAAAGAGAAAATAAGTTTGGCATACAGAAGTTTCTAGGTTTTCTTTCAGGAAAGCATTTCTCTCAAAATGGGTTACATCCATGTGTTCAGGCTCGGTATCTCTTAATACTACACATTAATACTTGTTGGGCACAAACAGCAATAACATCCTACCAAATATTGTGAGATACACCAATGAAGAAAGAATTGCTGTCTAGATGGGGTGTGAGTGCGTTATAGCGCAGGTGAAAGCAATATTCACAAGAATTGTTAACAGCAGAAGGATGCACGAATCTCACTCACAGTTCTAAATTTGAGAGCTTCCATATCTCCTCCCTTGGGGTGAGTGAAGTGGGTACTGCTTATCAGTACTGGAAGCTGAGCCTGAGCATGAGTGGGGATGCTGGCTATCACTGAAGGTGACCTTGACGTCGAACTTAAGGCATAGTTATATAAATCTCTTCAAATGGACTGCATCCTTAAAACTCCCTTTGTCTTTCAGAAAGCCCAGAGGCCTTGAGTGACTACAATTTAAGCAAACCTCATGAAATAGAAAATGTGGACAGTACCGAAGCCCCGACCAATGAAGATGAAGATGCAGGAGGTAAATCACGTGATGTGGTTAAAACTTCATGGTTACAGACAGAATTAAGGTTGAGGGTGAAGAAATCGACTTGCCAGTGGAAACATCTATTTGTGGGTTTGGATTCGCTCATTTAATATATATTTGCATTTAATAGTTTGTTGCAAGATGAAACCAATATTGGGGTGGGGAGGTGAATCAGCAGTTAAGAAGTCCTGCTGCTCTTCCAGAAAGTCCTAGGTTGGGTCCCCCCAACCCATGTTGGGTAACTCACTATCACCAGTAACTCCAAGTGACCTTCTGGTCACCATGGGCACTTGCACACATGTGGCATATACACATACAGTCACACACACACACACACACACACATGTGCATGTGTGTGCATATTACACCAATATTTTGAAAATTTAAGATACTCATTCATTGTTTACACTATATTAACTTTGCTTTAAGGCCATTTATTTGCCAGGTTTGGTGAAACATTTCTGTAATCACAGCTCTTGTGTAGCTGAGGCAGGAGGATCATGAATTTAGGGTCCTTCTGGGCTATATAGCCAAAGCAATGTATTGAGACCCTGTCTCAAACAATGCAAAAATGAAACATGTTCATTTTACCATTTTCCATTATAAAAATAACACACGTCCATAGTTTGGAGTATTTCCCAACAGCCAGTTCTCAAGAAAATAACTGGGTGGCCAACAATTCAATTCTTTTAAAATTTTTATTTATTCTTATTGGGGGTAGAGGTGTATCTGAAGGTCAGAAGACAGCCTGCAGGGGTCAGTTCTCTCTCTATCAAACTCGGGATGTCAGGCTTAGTCTCAGTCACCTTTGTCTTTTGAGCCGGCTTGCTGGCCTCTATTTCTATTCTTTCTTTTTTCTCTTTGAGATAGGGTATCTCTACATAGCCCTGTCTGTCCTGGAACTCTCTCTGTAGAACAGGCTGGCCTCCAACGCAGAGATCCACCTGCCTCTGCTGGAATTAAAGGCGTGCCCCACCAGGCTGGGCCCCACAGTGGCCTGGACTTTGTGATCGTCCTGCCTCAGCTTCCCAAGCGCTGGTAGTGCACACATGCTCTCGATACTGAAGTTTATCCCATTTCTTGTTAACTCCAGGGAATGAGTCTCTTGACTCTCCAGCCCCCTTTCCCTCTTTGCTTTTGATTCAGTTTTTATGTTTGAATTTGTTTCATGTGTATGTGCTTGAGTGATGTGCCTCACACGTGTTCAGGGGCCTGCAGAGGCCTGCAGAGGGCTTTGGATTCTTTGGAACTAGAGTTACAGGCAGTTGTGAGTCTTCCTGATGTTGGTGCTAGGAACCGAACCCAGGTCCCCTACAAGCGCAGTAAACACTCTTAACGGCAAAGCCTCCTCTTCAACCCCAGTTCGTTTGTTTATTTGTTATTGTTATTTATCTTTTTTGTTTTTTGAGGCAGGGTTTCTGTGTAGCCCTGGTTGTTCTGGAACTCTCTCTGTAGACCAGGCTGGTCTTAAACTCACAGAGATTCACCTGCCTCTGCCTCCTGAGTGCTGGGATTAAAGGCCAGTTTATTTAATAGTTATTAAAAACTTTAGTGACTAAAAATTATTGAATAGTCATTAAAAACTGTCTACCTTGATGAGATGAACCATTTGACCCTCCCTTCTGTTTTTCCTCGTTTTCTTGTTAATTAATGTAACATTTTTTGTTAGCAACTGTGAGACCTGTGGGGGGAGCTGAAGCAGCGAATTCACTGGATCTTCTTGGACAGCTGCTCAGTAGTGAAGATGCATGAGTGTCCCTGCAAAAGGGTTCTTTGTAGCAGATGCCTTTTCCTAGCCTCTGTGTCTATCTGCTTGATACCCATTCATTACAGGGCCAATTATATTGCCTGTATTTTCATACTTCCTGCATTCTTGATACTCCGGCATTAGGGGTCTTACAGACCCAGCGGGAGACTGCCCCTCTCACAGGTAGGCAATTCTGAGAGATTATGATGGTCTTGACTAAGAAGTATATCAGCTGTTTTATCTGGAATGTTCCCCTTGGCATTTATAAACAGAGTTACGTAGACAGCTTCAAGTTAAACAGTCCTGATGGTGGCTCTTATCCAATGATCCGGGATGGTAGTTCCCTCAAGAATAATCTGTTATTGTTCCATAGTGAGCTAGGGGTCCTGCATCAGCCCATATGTGTCTGACCACTGTGTATCATCCGGAAAGTAAGATTCAGTGCTAGAGGATTTTGCTCAGGGTAGAGTGTGCACTTATCACATGCAAGGTCCTGGGTTCGATCTCCAGCCCTAGAAAGAAAAAGATAAGAGATGAGTCAAAATACTACCCCTAAATATGCCTGTAATCTGTTCTAGTAAGGTTCTTCAGGAATCTGACGACACTGACTTACAGAATAAGGTCACTCCATCCGCACTCTACCCCTGCTTTCATTTCCTGGCTTTGTCCTCCCATCCCTGGACCGCCTTCTTGGTAGCCCAAGTGTGCGTGCGTGTTTGCATTTGTGAGGGAATGCTGTGTGTGCAGAAGCACTTGGGTGAATGGAGGCCGAGGTGCACAGTGAGCGTCATGATCGGTTGCTCTCCCCCATGTATGTTGGGACAGGTTCTCCCACTGAACTCGGAGCTTGCACGTGTGCTAGTCTGGCTGGTCAGTTTTCTGGAGAGATCCCCTGTCTCTGCCTCCTGATGTGGGGATTGCAGCTAGGCTACCACACCTACCTGGCATTTACAGGCGTGCTGGGGATTTGAACTGGGGTCCTTTGCTTGTGCAGCAGATGTTTTAGCCACTGATCCATCTTCCCAGCCCACGTCCAGCTGTATCATAGGCGGCATTTTGTTCCCATGTAATTGTCTTCCCTTTAAGGACACTTTTAGGCTTTGTGTGTGTGCGCATTGAATTTTAGCAGTATATGCTTGTTTAAAATGCTCACATACTATGGTGATAATTGTGATGACAAATCTCATCCACTGTTGCTTTATAAATGTCACTCAGATCTCATCTAAAATATCTTTTTTTAGAGGTTTCCCTGACCCCCCCCCAAAAAATTTTTTTTTTGTTTTTTTTTGTTTTTTGTTTTTCAAAACAAGGTTTCTCTGTGTAACAACCCTGGCTGTCCTGAAACTCACTCTGTAGCCCAGGCTGGCCTTGAACTCACAGAGATCCACCTGCCCCTGCCTCCCAGTGCTGGGATTAAAAGCATGCACCACCATCGCCCAGCAGTCTCCGACATTTTAACACAATGCTGCATTTTATTCTGTGATGATACCCACCACAGATAACTCTAGACTTTTATTTGTTAATTCTCTTCCGATGTCCACTCTTTATTGACTGGCATTTAGGACATCTTTTTCACTACTAGATCCCTCGCCCAAAGCAGATGGACAATAAACGTTCGTTGCATGACTAAATGAAAGTTCTGGGTTAATTCTGTCTTTGTGTGTCTACATAGTTCTCCGAAGAAAAGTAGTTTCTTCTCAGACTCTTTTTCTTTTGCCTGCTTGTTCAAGACCAAGAAATCGAGTTCCTCGCCTAATAGTTCTGAGATTCAAATCACAGCGTCAGCTCATATTCCTGATCTGCCTAGCTATACATTAATTTGTGCCAGTTTTTAACCACAGAGTCAGAAAACGCTGCTACGCAGGATGTGGTCATAAGTGCTGAGGAAAGGTGCATGGTGTCTCTGATTCGGCAGCTTCTTGACGGTGACATCCATCGAGTCACATTCAGGATGAGATAAAGCAGAGGCAGCTGTGCCCACATTTCTAGGTTAGGGCTCCCGAGGTCTGATAGTCAGCACATTGAGTTTGTGTTTGGGATAATAGCAACCTTTATCCAGCACCTAGTCTGGTAATTGATAATCATGTTAGAATTTCCCCTGGGTTCAGAAGAACCTCTGAGCTAATACTCAAACATAAACATAAAAACAGATACCATCCATGCAACAATAAGAATTTAAAACATGATAACACATGCCTGTAATCCCAGTACTCATAAGGCAGAGGTAAGAGGATGTTTGTGACTTTGAAGCTAACTTGGGATAGTAGAGAGTTCCAGGACAGCCTGGGATAGTAGAGAGTTCCAGGTGAGCCTGAGCTACAGAGAGAGTTCCAGGCCAGCCTAGGATATAGAGAGAGACTTTGTCTCAAAACATATAAGACAAAATAACCCACCCAAATGCTGTAAGCACTCAGCTTTCCCAGTTGGTGGTATCTGGAAATGTCATGCAGCTTTTGGTGGAGACTCTAAGATGTGATCAGTTACTGTAAATAACTGGGAACAGGGGAGAAACTGGGTGACCAGCCTTAAAACTCTTAGAAAGAATTTAATAGGATAACATCAGTGTTGAAAAACTATTCCATTTGTTCATGATTAACTTTCAAACTGACAAATAGACGAATAATCAATACTGTGAGTAATTTGCCTTTGAAAAAAGGTGGTTACCAGGGCACACTGCTTTAAAAAAGATGATCAGTATGTTCAAACTGTATGTGCCAAATTATAACACAGACCTATAACCCCAGAATTTAGGAGGTGCAGGTGGGAGGACCCAGACTAACCTGGACCACATGATATCACAATGAATTTATCTCAAATTCATTGGCTTCATCATCATCAACAACAAAAACAGTGGGTGACAAGCCAATGTTGAAGCTAGAATTAGGACTGTATTTACAAATTTTAATTAGGGAGATGTAGCTGCAATGCCATAACAATGATAGAAAACGTGCTTAGAGAACCCTGTATGTTTAAATTTAAGGGGAACATCCCCCTTTTTTTTTTTTTGATTGTTAGTTTTGTTTTGATTTGTTTTTCCAGGCAGGGTTTCTCTGTGTAACAGTCCTAGCTGTCCTGGAACTTGCTTTGTAAACCAGACTGGCCTTGAACTCACAGAGATCCGCCTGGCTCTGTCCCCCAAGTGCTGGGATTAAAGTCATTTGCCACCACCGCCTGGCATGGGGACATTCTTTCAAATGTTCTTTGAAAGGTTGTAGAAGCAAAGACCTATCTGGCGTGTATTAAAATT